AGAGGGCACACGGGGTGCATGGGACACAGGATACATGGGATGCATGGGGCACATGGGGTGCGTGGGGTGCAGAGAATGCAGGGGACACATAGGATACATGGGGTGCACAAGGTGCACAGTTTGCACGGGGCACATGGGGCACACGGGGTGCACAGGGCACATGGGTGCATGGGATGCATGGGGCGCAGGGGGTGCATGGGGTGCACAGGGCACAGGGGGCACATGGGATGCATGGGAAACATAGGATACATGGGGTGCACAGGGCACATAGGTGCATGGGGTGCACGGGGCACATAGGTGCATGGGGTGCAGGGAGCGCATGGGACGCACAGGATACATGGGGTGCATGGGGTGCACGGGGTGCACAGTTTGCACGGGGCACATGGGGCTCACGGGGTGCACAGGGCATATGGGGCTGCACGGGGTGCACAGGGCACATGGGGTGCACAGGGCGCATGGGACGCACAGGATACATGGGGTGCATGGGGCACACGGGGGGCACACTTTGCACGGGGCGCATGGGGCGCACGGGGTGCACAGGGCACATGGGTGCATGAGACACATGGGGTGGCCAGGGCACGCGGGGTGCCAGGGGCCGGGGCTCACCCCTGGGTGCCCCCCCGGGGGTCTCTCCTCTTTCCCCCCCCCTCCCCCCCCAGCTCTTCGGCTTCATCAACTTCCTGCTGTGGGCCGGGAACTGCTGGTTCGTGCTGCAGGAGACGGCGTGGCAGGCGCCTGCGCCCCGCGACAGCGCGGCCGAGCTATATAGGGGGCTGCGTAACCCGGGCGTCCTGTTCTGTATGGGGGGGCTGTACCTGTAACCCTGGGGTGGCCACGTCTGGGGGGGGCGTATAAAAATCCTGGGTACCAGCTCTATATCGGGGTGCCTATAGCCCCTGGTGTCTGGCTCTATATGGGGGGTATGTACAGCCCCTGGGTGTCTTTCTCTATATAAGGAAGTTTATATAGGGGGTATATACAACTCCCGGGTGTCCTGGTCCCTATAGGGGTATATACAACCCCTGGGTGTCTTTCTCTATATAAGGAAGTTTATATAGGGGGTATATACAACTCCCGGGTGTCCTGGTCCCTATAGGGGTATATACAACCCCTGGGTGTCTTTCTCTATATAAGGAAGTTTATATAGGGGGTATATACAACTCCCGGGTGTCCTGGTCCCTATAGGGGTATATACAACCCCTGGGTGTCTTTCTCTATATAAGGAAGTTTATATAGGGGGTATATACAACTCCCGGGTGTCCTGGTCCCTATAGGGGTATATACAACCCCTGGGTGTCTTTCTCTATACAAGGAGCTTTATATAGGGGGTACATACAACCCCTTGGGTGTCCTGCTCCCTATAAGGGTATATATAAGTCCCAGGGGCCCAGCTCTCTACAGGGGCTATATATAACCCCTGGCTGTCCTGCTCTGCATAGGGGGTCACTCCCGGTGTCCCGCTCTCCATGGGGTATAGATAACGCCCAGTGTCCCAAGGGGATATATAAGCCCTGGGTGCCCAGCTCTCTGTAGGGGATGTATATTAACACCTGGATTTCTACCTCTGTATAGGGATATATATCACACCTGGGTGCCCAGCTCTATATAGGGGCTGTATATAAACCCTGGGTATCCAGCGCTATGCAGGGAGTAATTAAATACTGGGAGTAATTAAATACTGGATAGCCCCATGTCAGGGGTATATATGTAATCCCTGGGAGTCCAGCGATGTATAGGGGTAACCCCTTGGCCCCCAGCCCTGTATAGGAGGGGATATATAAACCTCGGGTCCTCAGCCCCGTATGGGCAGTATACATTGCCCCTGGGAGTCCAGGTCCATATAGGGATAACCCCAGGTCCCCATCCATGTGGAGGGGTTGTATATATATAGCCTCTGTGGTCCCCAGCCCCGTATAGGGATAACTTGGGTCCCCAGCCCCATATGGGGATTATATATCACCTCTGGGCTGTCCATCCCCATATAGGAATAACCTGTGGGTCCCCAGCCCCGTATAGTGGGTATACGTCACCCCTGGGAGTCCAGACATGTAGCGATAACCCCAGGTCCCCAGGCCTGTATAGGGAGTATATAAGACCCTCCAGCCTCCAGGCTCATATAGGCACTACATGTCACCCTGGGTCCCCAGCCCCATATAGGGATAACCCCATCCCCCAGCCTTGCATAGAGGTATAGCAACCCCCCCAGCTCCATATAGGGATTACGCTGCCCACCTGCCCCATATAGGGGTATATGGACCCCCATCCCCCTGCCCCTATAGGCACTATATGTCACCCCCTGCTACCCAGCCCACGTAGGAGTATAGAGACCCCCAGCCCCCTGGCCTGTATAGGGTTATATGGACCCCCTGCCACCCCAGCCCCATATAGGGGTATAGGGACCCCCAGCCCATATAGGGGTATAGGACCCCCAGCCCTGTATAGGGGTATATAGGACTCCTGGCCCTCCACCCCGTATAGGCATTATATTTCACCCCTGGGCCCCAGCCCTGTATAGGGGTGTAGGGACCCCTGGCCCCCTATGGGGTACATGGACCCCCAGCCCCGTATAGGGGTATCTGGACCCCCACCCCTGCACAGTGGTATATGGACTCCCAGCCCCGTATAGGCACTATATGTCACCCCTGCCTCCCCACCTCTGTATTAGGGGTATAGGGACGCCTGGCTCCCAACCCCGCATAGAGGTATATGGACCCCCCCACCCTGTATAGGGATTACCCTGCCCCATACAGGGGTATATGGACACCCACCTCCCTGTCCCATATAGAGGTACATGGACCCCTGGCCCCCCACTCCCCTTTAGGGATAGAGGGACCTCCAGCCCCACACAGGGATATAGGGACTCCCAGCACCATATGGGTGTACAGGGATCTCCGGCCCCCTGCCCCTATAGGCACTATATGTAACCCCTGGCTCCCCACCCTTGTATTGGGGGTATGGGGACCCCCTGGCTCCCCAGCCCCATATAGGGGTACATGGACCCCCAACCCCACACAGGGGTATATGGACCCCCAGCCCATATAGGCACTATATGTCACCCCTGCCTCCCCACCTCTGTATTAGGGGTATAGGGACGCCCAGCCCCCAGCCCCCCAAAGAGGTGTATGGATCCCCCAGCCCCATATAGGGCTTACGCAGCCCTGTATTAAGGGTACATGCACCCCCACCTCCCCAGCCCATATAGGGCTATATGGA